CTGCGGCGCTGCGCCGCCGGGGTTCGCGCGGGCCCTCGCGGGGGCCCTCGCGCGGCGCGGCGCCCTTTCCGGCGCCCTTGGTGTCGCCCTTGCCGCCGCCTCGCGCGTTCGTGGGCTTCTCTAGCCTGCGGTCAGCCGCGCCGCGCTGCTCGTTCGCGGGCCTGTGGGGCGACGGCGGGGTATGTCAGAAAGCTGCGGCGGCGGGGCGTGCAACAGCGCCCCAGAGCCCGCTCACCCACTCGACGCATGAGCCCCCACTCTCATCAGGGCCCGGTCCCATGCATCATGCGCCTGGCAAACACCAAGAGATAATTCTGATGCCCCTGCAACTCGCTGCAAAGCCTTGACACAGACGCATGCGCACCCAAGGCCCGCCCCTCCCCCTCTGCGCGCCTGTGCTGCGCACTGTCCACCGGGCGAGTCGTATCGTGTCCATTCTGTGGGGGTCTTGGTGGCGGGTTCTGGGGCGCTGGGTTGGTGTTATCCCTCATCAGCCTCGCAGGGCGACAGGAGGTACGACCTGGGGGTTGCGCGAAGGGAGGACAGGGGAGCGGCGTGCCGGCCGGTTGGCGACCTCCTGGCCGTGCTGTGGGCGGCGTTGATGGCGCACTGCTGCTGATGCGTGCCGGCGAGGCGCAGCCTGCGTCATGCGCTGAGAGCCCAGCTGGCTCTCGACGCTCAAACGCGAAACTACACGTCCGCTAGGCCGATTCTGGAGGGGCCCGCGCGTGCAGCAGCCCTGGTCGGGGCGAGGGGCACTTGCGCCGCGGCTCCAGGCCTGACTAGCCCCCGAAGCTGAAGCTTCACGATTATCGAACAGCCACAGCGTCCCTCGCGCGGTCCGAATCCACCGCCCGGCTTCGCGCGCATTCCTTGCTGCTCGTGTTGCCAAGCTCACTTGTCTGCAGAAGGCCCCCTACGACAAAATAGAGGCAGTCTAAAGTCTAGACTAACCAGTGATTGTGGCGGTGGAGTGGCGCGTGCCATCTCTTCCCAAGCCCAGGGCGGTTGACTGGTGAGTGGCCCCAGCAGGAAGCGGGTGCCACGCCACGTAAGCGCGCTGGACCACGCGTGCGCGCCCACTGAAAGCGCATAGTGCAGCCAGACAGAATCCATGGATAGCATTGACCAATCACCAACCACGCAAACCCGCGACTATTGCGGTACTGACTAGCATAGCGAAGCTTCCTAGCCCCACCCCCATCCCGGTACTCTGTAATGGCCAGAGGGGTTGGGCAATGACAAATCAGCTTACACGTGGTTGCAGCAAGGCGCACATATGCGCTTTGACCTGTGAGCAGCATTCCAGGGTCTGGCCGCCCGCCGGAGTGGCTGTTCAGCAGCAGGGAGCGCATGCATGCAGGCGAGTGGCGGGTGGTGGTACTGAGAGGAAAAGCGCACAAAGACGGCGGCCCGAATGAGAGAGGTGAGCGGGGCGGCACGGTCATTGCAAGGCATCCTGCGACGTCACGCGGGCCACGGACCCAAGGCGAGACCAAGGCCTTGCGGGCAGAGCTTGATCAGATCCAGACGTGCGAATGCGGGGGAGGGCCACGCCAGTTGAGAAATGGCGGGACCTCCGCGGTCTCCAGTACGTAGCCTGCCGCGACCAACACAGGAGGCGTGTACCATGCATGAGGTTGAGTTATTGGCGTTGATTGGTGGGCACGCGGGCCTCGGCACATGCGCAGCGACCAAGGCAGCCCTTGTGGGCAAGATGGGGCAGTTTGTGTGCTGACGAGGTTGTATCAGGCAGGCATCGCTTGTGTGTGAGAGGGGTCAACAGTGAGTGACCATCAGGGTCAATGCGTATGGGACGTGTTTGCTTGGCAGGCAGCGCTTGAGAAGGCATGTGCAAATTCCCCTGCATCAAGGGCTTGTGACCCATGATTAGAAACGCAAGGTGGTTGCAGAATCGGCTCAAGGACCATGCGGTCTAGTTCTGTTGACACCAGGGAGGTGCCGATACGCTTGTGTTTGGCAGGGCGCAGTGTGTGAAACAGGTGACGGATTGCGACGGAAAGGAATGGGGGCGGCAGTGGGCGGAGTGAAACCCCAGAAACCAAATGAGTGGGCGCAAGAGAAGCACCATTGGCATGACGCATACAGGCAGAGCCCGGTCAGCACGCCGCAGCCAGGGTCAAGAGTTGTGCGGTGGTGTTTGCATCACAAAAAGCAGGTTTTGTGATGAAAGCGAGTACTTGCTCCTGGAAGTAGTGCGCGTGGCATGCTGCTGCGCACATGAGAGCAAGGGCTGTTGAGTGATGAAGCATGCTTCCCAGCATGCTAACCAATGAAGTTGTTAGGCAGTTATTGTATGCAGCTGTTCCCGGGGGCAGCGCTCTGCGGCGGCGCCAAGCGGCTGTCTAGCCCTGGCGCAGCCGCCACCATCTGCGCGGCCGCCGCCTGCGCCCACAGCAGCATCGGCCCCTCGGGCCCAAGCAGGTCCTGCGGGGCGCTGCCTGGGTTCATGGCCGCGGCGGACGCGGCGGCGGCGAGCAGCGCCATGTCGTCGCTGGACAGAGGGGGCATCATCATCGCGCTGCCGCTGTACCCGCCTGCGCTCGAGCCAGCACCGCCGCCGCCGCCGCAGCCTGGTGCAGAGCTGACGCTCGGGAAGAACAGGTCATCGAAGCCCCTAGAGACGCCGGCGTTGCTGAATGCATGGCCAGACGGCTGCGGCAGCGGCTGCGGCAGATACGGCACCACGGGCACTGGCAGGCAGGCGAGCCCTGCCGGCGCCCCCCCGATCCCGCCGCCGCCGAGGAGCGCCATGTGGCCGCCGAGGCCCTGGCCAGCCCTGCCCAGCAGCTGCGCATCCGAGCTGTCCTGCTTAGAGGTGTGGCCGGGCGCCGCCACGCGCGGGCCAGGGCAGGGCTGGTCCTTGCTGGGGTGCGGCGCGTCGCAGGCGCCGCCGCCTGCGTGGCGCGGCTGCTGCTGAAAGAGCGAGAGCGCCGCGGCCTGCTGCTGCAGCAGCGCCTGCTGCAGGAGCAGCTGCTGCTGCTGTTGGCAGAGGAGGTTCAGGTACATGTCGTGTGTGGCGTCCGTCATCTCACCCGCCAGCACAGCAGCCGGGTAGGAGGCCGGCGCCAGGAGGGCCGGCGGCATCGTCCCCGAAGCCCCCGGCAGAATGCCGCCCCCGCTGCTCGGCGCAGGGCTGCGGGAGGATGGGAGGGGCTGGGCGAAGGCGGCGGTGGGGCCATAGCTGCTGCCAGGCGGCGGTGTGGACGTCTGAGAGGCACTGGCGCCGCCGCAGGGCGCAGGGCTGGGCGCCGTGGCAGCGAGGAGGGCGCCGCCGGCGTCTGGCAGCGGCGGCAGCGGGCCGAGCACGCACATGCGCAGCGTCGCCTCAAGCTCCTCCTCGCTCTGCGCGGACAGCGCGGCGCGGGCGGCGAACAGCGCCTCAAGCTGCTCGGCGTTGAGGCTGGGGTAGTGGGGCGTCCTGAGCTCTCCGGCGTCGTGGGCAAAGAAGCAGATGGGGCGCGAGCACCTGGTGGGGACCGGGGCGGGCGATGAGCGCGGCGATGCGGACAGGGTGGCATTAAGACGAAGCACCGAGGCAGTACAATTTATCGCAGTCATCTGGCAGGGTACGGTGACAGTAGGAGTTGATCAAGCAAGAATGTTGGCTTCAAACAGAGTGAGAGGGCAAGCTGCACACGACTGCCACCGCGGCGGACACTGCGCGTGAGGTCGGCGGTCGAACGGCGCTGTCCTGCCAACCTCAAGTTGCCTCAGTGGCACTCACTTGTTGCCGTCGTTGCAGAGCTGCGTGCGGTACCTGCAGGCGGCAGATACAAATTGTGCTGATATGTTAGTTGCTGTGGGGATGGAGGTCGAATTTACTAGGCCCCAACAGCAATGAGTGTAGCATTTGCAAACCCCGACGCACCTGCTTGGGTGCAGGAAGTACTCGGGCATCGAGTGGGCAAAGGGGCAGCTGGCACCACGCGGACACACGCGCTTCTATACAATGGGGGTTTTCCAAGCACGTGGGGCGTGTACGGGCATCAGCACAGCGTGCTTTGACCAGGCGGCAGTGGTTTGACCGATCAGGGGGACAGTGCAGGGCTCGCGCGTAAGCTGCAAGGCCGAAGGAGCCGCGGGGATGGCAGGGCAGAGGCGACACCACACGCCTGATGAGTGGCGACAACCCTCTCAAACCTAGCGAATGCGCTGTGTAGATGGTGACATGCACCCCAGGGCTGGCAGGGACCGTCGGCTCACCGCCTTCGAGTCGGGACAAGACACGGAGAGGTGCTTGGCGTGGTCGCGGCGCGCGGCGTTCTCCCCCATGTGAGCGTAGGGGCATGTGCGCCAGTCGTGGCTGGAGCTGCGGTGAAAGGGGGGGCATCCAGCACAGCACTGTTGAGGCAGTGGTCAGGGACGACGGCGGCGAGTTGAGCGTGCAAGCTCAGGCTGATGAGGCAGTGCAGCGCCAGCAGAGTGGCCGGCAAGGCAGCGTGAATCCAGAGCCTTCGATCATACCTCCTAGGACACGTCTTCAACTTGTACACATTCATCATAAAGTCAGGGGCCAGCTCGCTGCTGCGGATCTCCGTCGAAGCAGGTGAAGCGGGCGTATGACCCTTTTTCGACGACTTCTTCAGGTCACCGCCCTTCGTGTCCCTGTCATCTGATAAGAGGGCACCGCGGTCGTCTGCCATGCTGCCGAGGTGATCGCGGACTGCGGTGATGCTATAAGGGCCGGTGAGGATGCGTGGGGCGAGCAATGTTCACAAGGAAGGATCTGGATCTAATGATTTGAGGTACGGGGACCAACACTTGGCGCCTTTTGTATTGCTGCCATCTGATGACTGTGCACTTCAAGCGCGCGGTCAACTCCCCAGCCTCAGCTCCCGCTGCGTCGACTTGCCATGGCACGTGTTGCGAACCGTTACAACAATCGAATGCGCAATGAATACAAATCCAGTCCCCACCAGCTGGTGCTGTGGGGCAGTATAATGCAGGTCCCGCAATCCGACAAGTGTGCCAAGCGCGAGAGTGGTCAACATGCAGCCAGATGGACCATCGCTTCTGCCATCCCGATATGCAGAGCCACCAAAGCGCCGCACGCGTCACATGTCACGACCAATATCATAAATAACAGTCATCGAGCGATTATTGACTTGTTGTCACGAAATTTCTTGGCCCCGGCACCCATCCAGGTGGATGGGTTGTGTGCACGAATCGAGCCGTCATGGTGTTTCTTGGCCCCGGGCACCATCCAGGTTGACGGCTTGTATGTACAGGCACGCAGTAAGCCCCACCTGATACCACAACGGCAGCTGCGTCACTCGAGATCACCCAGGCGTCTTACCAAGTCTTTCTTGTTGATCTTTCCCATCGCGTTGCGCGGCAGCGGCTGCTGTAGCAGCCGCCATGCGCTTGGCACCTGTGGTACAAGCGCACATCATCATGTCAGTGCGAGCGTGGGGCACACGATGACATCATGAGTGAAGCATGTATACGATGGTCGGACACCAAGGCTTGCAATTGTGCCACATACAGCGAGTCCCTCGCAGCACGATACACCGCGCAGGCCCCCGCCTCCAGCCGCACCTTGTACTTGGGGAGCCTCTCGGTGCAGAACGCGCGCAGCACGGCGGCGGGATCGGGCCCCAGGGTGGCACCCTCCTTCAGGACGACCAGCGCGGTGATGGCCTCCCCCTGGAGATCATCCGGGACACCCACCACCGCGCACTCCTTCGTACGGCATTGGAAGAACGAGGGGCAGGCGCGAGGCGACCTTGCTGATCAATAACATCCCCAACCCGCCAAAGCAGGGAGACAAGGCGCCGCGGTCCCTCAAGAGCCTGATGCCCTTGGGGTTGTGGATGTTGGGCAAAAAGCAAGGGGCAGGTGTGCTCCATTGCACGCAAAGGGCTTGTAGGCAGACACCCACCCCCCCCCACCTGCACTGCGTCGCTCTCCAAAACGGCGCCCTCCACCTCCAGCGCAGACACCTTGAAGGCGTTGGACTTGATGATATCCACACTTGCGCGGCCCAGAATCTGCCAGAGGCGGGCCAAGCGCCAGCGCAGGGCACAGTCAGCGACGAACGCAGGCACCATACCGGCTTGATGCGCCGCAGCGCGGGGCTGGCGGCCACGCGGAAGAGGCCTGCATCTAGCCGCGCGCCTCGCAGATGGCACCTCGCGGCCGCGGCGCGCACAGCACACCGTGCCGTAAGCTGGTGACTCGGCTGGCTGTCGGCGGGGGCGGCGGTCCCGCGCACCCGGAAGTAGGGCGGCCGGCCCTCGAGCCCGACCACGTCCCCCGTCTTGAAGAAGCCATTTGCGTCAAAGGCGTCTGCGGTGGCCTCGGGGCGGCCCCAGTACTCCTTGAACAGGAAGGGGCCGCCGACACGCAGGTCGCCGGTCAAGGGTTCGCCTGGGTGCATGCAAGGAGGCGCGGGGTAGGGGAGGGCGTGCGGCGAGCTTTGCTGGTGGGTGGGGCGGGGACGGCAGGTGGACGGCTGGGGAACGGCTGCAGGACCCTGCTCCTGCAGGGGCGAGGGCAGGGCAGCGGAGGGTGCAGGGCAGCCAGCCCGAGCTGCGGCACAAGATGCCCTGGCCTCCGTCCAAGCGATGTATGGCGTTGCCGTCGCACCTGAGGACGGATCAGGGTCAACGCCGCTGGGCGCGTCGGCGTCCTGTGCCACCTGGACGCGCACGCCGGGCAGCGGCAGGCCCACAAACCCGGCGCGCCGCTCGCCCTGCAGGCAGGGCAAGTGAGCGAGGCCGCTGCCGTCAAAGAGTCGTTCCAGCGCTGCGCTGCGTCCCCAAGCCACCGACAACCGGCGCACGGCTCATGGCGCGCCTCTCCCGCACAGCCCGGATTATGCCTGCACAACTTCCACTTGTCCAGAGGCCCAGCTTAGCCCGCGTCCACCTCGTAGGGGTTGGACAGGATCATCCCGGTCTCAGTCATGCCGTACCGCTCCAGCAGCGTCTGCCCCGACACCTCCCGCCACCGCTCCAGCAGCGCCACCGGCGCCGCCGCGGACCCCGAGACCGCGAGCCGCAGCTTCGACGCGGCTTCCCGCAGGGCCGGCTTCTGGTCGGGCGGCGCCTTGTCGTAGGCCATCAGCAGGAAGGTGTACATCGTGGGCACCGCCATCAAAACGGTGATGTCATCATCCTGCAGCGGCGGTGTCATTGACGGCGGCGTCAGGGGCGTTTGCTACGGTGTGTAAACCACTGTGTGTGCAGCTGTGTGTAAGCTCTGCGGCCCCTGTTTGCTTGCGCACCGCCGTCGATACAAACCGGCTGCGCCGCAAGAACGAGAATCGGAGCAGCTGCAGAGAACAGCGGCGAAGCCACCGCAGCCGCGCGCTCGAGCGCACCCGCAGCCGCCGCCACGCCGCGTTGGGCTGGAACGAGGTCATGAAGTCGACGCAGGCGCCGGCCGCGTGCGCGCAGTGCAGCGCGTTCACGATGCCGTGGATGTGGTGCAGCGGCAGCGCGTGCAGGATGCGGTCGGACGCGGCCCAGCGCCAGGCGTCCACCAGGCAGCCGACCTGGGCAGACAGGCTCCTAGGGGGTGGGGGGCGGCGCGTGAAGACGCGGACCCGAGGGCGGCAGTGGGCGGACGGAGCGCATTTGCGGGAGGGTTTGAGGGCCAGGAGAGTAGGTGCTGCGGCGGTAGCAGCCCTGGTGGGCTTAAGACATGCGCTGGGCTGCGCGGCGCTCCATGCGGCGAGTCACATGCAGCGTGGCACGACGATCCGATTGATGCCTACGCCACAGCTGCATTCGCAGCTGCAGTGTAGCTGCTCACCCGTGGGTGTGCAGCGCGCCCTTGGGGCGGCCTGTGGTCCCACTCGTGTAGATGATCAGCGCGCCGCTGCCCTCCTCGCGCCCGCTACCGCCGGCGCCCGCGTGGCTGGCATGCCGCTGCTCGTCAGGGCCCGGCGATCCCGCGCTGGGGCCAGCGTCAGCGTCAGGCACGGCGGAGCTGAATAAGCTGGGGTCGAGGACGTGCAGGCTGGAGCCTGCCGCGTGCACGGTAGCCTCTAGCTTGGAAACGCTGGACTCGGGCGCGAGCACCTGGATGTGTCGGGACGTGTGTGGGTGCAGGCGGAGTGACGAGACGGCGCCGCTGGTCAGCCGGTTGCCGTTGGGGCTGGCCTTGGGGCGTCAGAATTGTCCATTGCTTACACTAGCAGTGGCTCACATACCTCCAGTCAGCACTAGCGCTCTTTGGCTCTGTTGTGGGCGTGCAAGAAGCTACGGGTGCTCTTGCTGGCTTACCCCCAGCCGCAGCTCACCAACGACACGCCAGCGTCCTTGATTACGTAATCGATTTCAGCCGGCGGGTGCGACACCGCCAGCGGCACCGCCACGCCGCCCGCCATCCACGCCGCCCAAGTGGATGCCACGTAGCCGAAGCCGGGCTCGGCGTAGATGCCAATGCGCGGCCCGTGCTCGGCGCCGGGCGGCCTTGGGGGCAGCTGGTGCACGATCTGGGCGGCGAGCTGCTCGCTGCTGCCCAGCAAGTCGCGATACCTTGGGGAGGGAGTCAGCGCACATTGCCGTGTGGTGATGCAGCAACAACTGCATGCGGCGCAACGGCGCGCGTTCTGGCAAGCCTGCCCTCATGGTGTGGATGCTGGGCACCCCGGCCGCTTCGCACCTGATGGCACGCCCCGCCGCACGGACGGCGATGGAGCTGGCATGCCGTTGAGCTGCCCTCACCACGTCCATGCTTTCGCGACCCCCCTGCCAGCGATCTCGGGGTGCTGCACGGGGTATATCCGAAGCCGTGCGCGCAACGCTGATCACAAGCAACGTGCGCCGCTGATTTATACCATACGATAAAATTTATACAATGTTAACATCAATCGAACCCGCCGCAGTCACGTTCGCACACGGCAGCATGCTGTTTTGTCGAGTTCATTTGCAGCCGTGGCGAGCTACTGGTGGAGCAACAACGACCAGGGTGTTGCCAGTCACGCTCTGGCACAGCATTATGCGAGTGTCACCATCATTATTTTGGCAAAAGAGAGCGTCGACGCCTGCAGTGCGCACAGCGCCGCGCCATTCCTGCAAGACGGCTGGGAACAGCGTCCGTGCTGCCGCTGGTGCGGCTGCCGGGAGCGGCGGCGATGAAGGGGAGACACAAGGGTCAGCATATGGTGCGGCCAGCACGGACCAACCTTCAGGCCCGCCACCTGGGCAGGACTTTAGCGATGGGGGTGTTGGCCGCTACGCCGGCAGCGGCAGTGGTGGGAACAGTGGGGGAGGCTCAGGGCGCAACAGCGGCGGCCGCGACAGCGGCGATGGTCACAGCAGCGGCGGTGCGGCACCACAAAAGCCGATGTGGCTGACGGTGAGCACCGCAGGGGGCTTTCAGGTACGTCTGTGATGTATCCTGACAAGAATGCTATGCCCCAAGCACGGTCCACTGGGTGCCAACGGAACCTCGCCGATCCGGCGTGTTGCATGTTACGCCGTGTGGGAGACAATACAGCGCCCGTGCGCCTTGTGAACTCTAAACATGACGGCCTTCCACTCTCGATTGGGCCCGTGCACCAAGGTGTGGATGTGGGCAACCGCCATCGCTTACCTGGTGTGGCGCTGGCAGTGGCGCCGCGGCCGCCGGCTCGCGTCAGAGGCGCAGCAGCGAGAGGCGGAGATGGAGGCGCAGCTGCGGGACGAATTCGAGCAGTTTGCGGAGCAGTACAGGCGCGGTGGTGGCAGCGGCCAGCAGCCGGGACC